TAGAGAACCTGAAAACAAAAAAAATTATTTTTTATGTTTCCAGTGATTTTTGTTTTCAGAAAATAATTTTTTATTTTTAACTACCAAAAATATTTCTTAAAATTGTTTTTTGTTTCTTGAAATTAAAAACTGGAAAACGGAACCTTATTCTCTCTTTAAAGTATAAGAACACTTTTTACTATATCTTTAAGTGCTTAGGGAAGCCCTTTCAAACTTTTAGGCGAGCTTTTTAAGTTTCCTCTTAACTATCACCATTTATCATAATTACTCAATTTAAAATTAATTTAAAACAATGTATACTGAAATATTATTTCCCTTAGAAAAAAATCTAAACAATAATGATTAACTGCAGCAAAGCCCCAGTGGGCATCTAGTTATAAATAATAAAATATCAACAAAAAATTATGAATATTATACATAGAATATTTGAGAAAAACATTACATAGCTACTAAAGTTTTTATATATGCGTGTAATTCAAAATAAATGTATAAGATATATATTTTTAAATTTGGAGTGTAATTGTGGTGGCGGAACCAAATATATCATGGCCCAATTAGTTGGCAGCCTAGAGATTCTCGACATGGGGTAGGATGGATAGAAGCTATTGGGATAGCTGAAATTACTATCTCTAAATTCATGCATGTTGTTTAACTCGGTGCAAATGGTGGAAATAGATACTACTAATTGGGCTTTTGGAAGAAGGAAAGCTCATTTTGAAAGACACCTTTTCTCGTCTTATTTTTCTTTCATATAATATTTAGTTCATTTTCTTTTGTACTTTGAACCAACTTTTTGAGTTTATTATTTAGGCTAAACTGGTTTTCTTGTACATGACCTGCATAATGCAATTAGAAACACAAGTTCTAATGGAATGTACTTTGTCTGGACAGAGCTCCGGTAGTTGCCAAATGTGATCGTAAGCGGGTTCTTTCCTCTTGGGCCCCATATAGCAATATAGCCCCGGCAGAGTTCGAGATTGAGTTTTCAACTGTTCGACATCTTGCGCCACGCCAGTTTGTTGAGAAGTTATCAAAAGAGCTCAGAGTGTCCGGAGTTGTGGCTGGTAATTTTTTAAAAAGCAATATTAATATTTTCCTCACAAGATTCACAAGGTAAAATCACATGCAAAATTATATGAAATTAGAAGTTTTAATGGGTGACTGGCAGGTGAAAACTACAGATTTGGATATAAAGCTGCTGGTGATTCTTCAGAGCTAGTGAGGCTGTGTCAGGAGTATGGAATTGGGGCTTATATAATTAATTCTGTCATGGACAAGAATCAAGATTCTAGAGATATAGACTCAAATGATTTAAAAGAGAGAGGACAAGTTTCATCTACCCGCGTACGCCGTGCTCTAGCTGTAGGTGATATGGATTATGTATCGGAGCTTCTGGGTCGTCCTCATCGTCTTATATTGGTAGTGAAAGACCACAAAGAGTTAACTAGTAGTGGTAAATTTAGGATGTCAGTTCCAAAGTCATATCTGTTAAATTTACCACCAAGGGAGGGTTTTTACGATCACTGTTGTCTTTTATTTGGTGATGAGAAACCGCTAAAGTGTAGAGTACTGATTGATACAACACATATCCATTTAGAAATGGATGAAGTTATTTGTAATTCCAAAAAATCTCAAGACTATTGGTTCTTGGGAATTGAATTTGGCAAGTTAAGTTAGTTATTTCGATATCTTACCGTTGTTCTTTTTAATTTTATGTGTGAAGTATCATGGAAGAGAAGGTTGTTACACGTCTGACAAATGGAAGGAGTTATCTTTCAAATTAACAGGAGGTACAATTAGTGGTGAGTTGATATTAAAGTCTTCCATCTACAGCAGAGAGATATCTGATATTGTTTATGTTAGAAATGAAGTGTTTAGTCAGTAATCCTGGAAAATTAAGAACTGTTAAGGCAGGAAAGACTTAATACTTGATATATATATATATATATATATATCTGTACTTTTATCCCTCCATAAAAGCATTCTTTGTTCTACCTGCTATAACTAAGAAGAACCAAAAAAGAAAAACTTAAAGCCAATTCCATCCACCACATAAAAAAATTGAATTTAGTTAAGAATCTTTTTTTTATGGTGTGGGTGTTGCAGGAAATTACTAGTGTGAAAATGATCATGGAAGAATAAAATTAATAAATGCAAGTGAATAAATTCTTTGTTTCTTTTCAAAGAAAAGCAGTTAATTTCATCATATTCTCTTTGATTCATCTCCCATTAATAATTTTTAAATAATGAATTTTCAATCAAATATATATTTCCATTTTTCACACCAACACCCCATGTAATTAATTTCACATTTTAAAGTTTTTGGAAAAGATATCTGCCTTATAATAGTAATGATTAAATAAATCAGGTAATTAAATTTTTTTTAATATATATTTATGTAAAAAAAAAAAAAAAAGAAATGCTGAAATTTTCAATATTAAAAGTAAATTCATTAATTTAGAAAAAATAATCAAAATTAAACAATGAGAGAGAAAGTTGTTGACAAGAATCCATGACGATCTCAACCGTTTAGGGGATATTTTCAAATTCAGAATTTAATATAAAGTTCGAGAATATGCGAGTTGAGAAACCCAAGAAAATCATCTTAAATTAAATAATAAAGAAACCACCTCTCTCGCCATCATCTCCCTCTCCTTACCAGGTCAGTTTCTCTTCTTTTTATTCTGTCTATTCACTCAATCATTTACGTATACATGTTCGCCGATTTGTTTTCTTTTTTCTTTTTCTTTTTTGTTTTTTCCTCCCCATATTCGCTCTTCTCCCTTGGAATTTGACGAGTTTGAAGTTGATTTTTGAGATGCAGTAACTTCATTTAGGTTACAATGCGGAAGAGGAAAAACAGAATCCAGATTTAATATCCTCCATAACTGGTGTTCCTTTCATCGCTTCCTGTTACATCCAATATTCCTTGCTTTTCATTTACGTCCCCTACAATTTCTCCTTTATTCCGATCATGTCCTTCTAGGTACAGCATTCCGGATTTCTTCCTTATCGGTATCCGAAGAGTCACCTGTGGCAAATAAGTAATTTCATTCCTACTTCCGTTTCCTAACTTGTCGGAGTCCCGTTTAGGGTTAGCTGTCACGCACCGTCCATTCTCTTTGCATGGGTTGCCAACAACACCCATGTGGCGTGTTTTGATTGGCTTATACTATACGTGGCGTGTTTTGATTGGCTTATACTGTTCCTTAATTTTTACAATTTTGTCAACGGAATTCTTTTAATGCTTGTACGCCACCGTTTTGATCACAAGTTAAGAACTCAAAGATTAATTTTTTTATTTTGAAATTGACGGTCAAAGTTGATTTTTTCTTTATTTGTTGTATATGCTTTTTTGCAGGCCAGGCGTTTGGTGAGAAGAGAGGGAAGTAGCTTTCTTGTGGTAGTCGAATTGTTTACTGGCTTTCATCGGGCTGTCAAGGGGACAACATTGACAGCCCGATTTATTAGACCCAGGTGAGAGAATATACTGCGAAAAGAACTTAATTTGGATTCTAGATTCTCTCCCAATTATGTTTTTACTCATGCGTGTTTTTTTTTTTTTTTCCTTCCTTTTTTTCTAAAGAAGCTTCGTGGTTGCTGTGGTGTGTTGTATATAGCGTTGATTGGGCTGTAAGGGAAGAGCGTCCAAAGCCCGATTTAATAAGGAAACCAAATTCCCAGGTGAGGATTTTACGCAACGTGCGCCGACTTTGACTCTTTATTCCCGCTCCTTTTACTCGTTTAATCAGCGTTTTTCTCTGGACCAACTCGCATTCGGAGATTTTAACAATCCTCATCTTCGTATCAGGACGCGTCCCGTTGACGGGTCCATCGTTAAACTCCTCCAACATTTGGATTCCAGTCTCGTCGTTCTTGGATATCTGGGTTTTGGCTCTATTCTTGAAATCGACCTTGGGTTTTGAGTTGGTGTTATTTTGAGGATTGCTTGACGTTGATATCGTACTTGTGGTGTATACATTGTTTACCGGAATGGGTTCTTTGTCCGGGATCGTTCAGCGACCTCTGGTAGCAGCTGTGGTTGTTGCTGTCGCTTCTTTCTCGTCAGAGGTTTCTGAAAAATTGCCGTCTCTTAGATCATCGGACGGTTGTTCAACTTCGCAACAGATTGATTCTTCATTGGGTAAACCAGGAAATGATGAAAGGACTTCCTGGATTTCTGATATATCGGTTTCCAAGCTTGCAAACTTGTCCTTTGTCACCAGAATCCATGTGCCGCTTCCTAATGTTAACTTTACGCTTCCAAATTCCAGCAGCTATTTTGTTCCTGGCATGGCATGTTCTTCTGTTGTGTCTTCTCCTGTTCTTCGGAATCTGTACCAATCGGCAGAGTGGACAAAAGCATCAAAGCCGGCCTCATTGCCAAGTACAATCACTATCTCCGCCCCTGATGTTTCATATAGATGGCATTTACCAGAACCTAATGCTATTGATGGTTCTCGAACTTCTGATTGCTCATCTGTGAAGTCCAGAACGGTAGTTGTTTTGCTTGGATGGTTGGGATCTAAGCAGAAGCATCTCAAAAGATATGCAGAGTGGTACACTTCCAAAGGATATCATGCCATCACCTTCACTTTTCCAATGAGTGAAATTCTTAGTTACCAGGTTGGTGGGAAAGCTGAGCGGAGTATAGAATTGCTAGTGAACCACTTGGCTGATTGGTTGGAAGAGGAGCAAGGAAAAAATCTAGTTTTTCACACCTTTAGCAACACCGGCTGGTTGACGTGAGTTCTCTCTACATCATGCTTATGCAAACATGCATATTTCATTATTTTAGTTATATAGTTTTCTTTCTTATTGATGTCATGATCCATCTTATTCTAGATATGGAGCCATTCTGGAGAATTTTCAGAAACAAGATCCATCGTTGATGGGAAGAATTAGGGGCTGTATTGTGGACTCTGCACCTGTTGCAGCCCCTGACCCACAGGTAAATAGGCCTTTATTTCTTTTACTCTGTAATCAACACAATTATGTTGTCTTAAAGAAGATAGGAGTATTATGTCTTTGTGTGGGTTTGCAGTCCACCTTTGTTATGATTCTTTTGCCTTCTGCTTACATAATCTCTTTAGCCTGCATGCTCTCACCATTTAATGTTGGTAGTCTTGAGTATCCATCAAATATAACAATTCTGGCTTCTGTCAAATATTTGCCAATCCTCCATATGCCAAATTAGTCCCCACAAGTTGAAAGTTCTAGTAGAAACTGTTGCTGTCATTTTTCTCCCTTTTCCCATTTTATTCTTCTAGGTTGGGTTCATTGAAAGGTAAGTTAGGTGATTTCTTCTTCAGATGATCGTTTGGGTTTCTTTCTTTTTAGAAGAGTTGGACTGATATTGCACCCCTATCTGCATATAGTATTTGTGTGAGAACATTGAACTCCGTTACTTCTATTATTAATTCTATTGGTATTTTCTCTGGCTTCAACTTTCTCTTGTTTTGCCTTCACTATACTAAGAACAAAAGGGTATGTTTTATCTGGAAACCCTCGATTCTCCACCATTTTTATCACTTTGATGTGTTAATTTTGCACCATTTTATCACTATAGGTTTCTATTGTTAATTCTATTCAATAGTGGAAGACATGTACCTGGAAATCAATTATCCACCCTTGATTTTGTAGAATATGATCTGTTGGTACTATTAGCAAGTTGGGAGGATTACCCATGTATTGAAAGGTTATAGGGTGTTTGGATACTCATTTTGGTTCTGTTTTTCCCCAGCTTTTTTAGTCACTCATTTGCTATTTTCTACAAAAGAGGTTTGGGATAGAGAAAATCTATGTTGGACTATTCCTTGTCTGATTCTTTTGAAATCATTTGTGAATAGGTATGGGCTTCAGGTTTTTCTGCGGCATTCCTGAAAAAGCACAGTGTTGCAACCAAAGGCCTTGCAAGTTTGAGTGAGTCCGACATGGAGGTATTAATTGGCAGCAAAGAAGTTGTTGTACCCCAACCTGCAGTAACTGAAACAGCTTTGCTGTTGATTCTTGAGAAGTTCTTTGAGGTGGTACTAAATCTTCCTACAGTGAACAGGTAAATTTGCAACTGCAAATTGAGCAAAAGCTAGTGTTTACTTAGTAACTGATGCTTGCTAGTCTGTAGCCATGAGTTCTCCATCTCTTTCTATTCGTTGTTGGATTGTTATAGGGAATTAGGCGTAGTCTTTAACTGCCGCTTGACAGTGCTGGCAAGCTCTTAACTGGAGATGCTAATATCATTATTTTGCGGTTTACACCTACAGTTTTTGCAACCCTAGGAACTTAGATTGACTCGGGTTAATGTTACAGGCGGCTCTCAGATGTGCTAGACCTATTGTCATCAAGACAACCAAGGTGTCCACAGTTATACATATATAGCTCAGCGGATAGAGTAATTCCTGCAGGACAGGTGGAATCATTCATAGAAAGGCAGAGGAGGGCGGGGCATGAGGTCCGTGCTTGTAATTTTGTGCGTACACCACATGTAGATCATTTCAGAAATGACCCAAAATTGTACACCAGTCAGCTCAGCCAGTTTTTGGATGACTGTGTGCTTACTGCTTGTAAGTGTTCTTGAAGTGAAGTTATGAGAATCACTCTACTTTTGTTCATCTAAGCCTTTCAATTTTCCATACTTCAAAACCTGATAGTGATTAATTCATTGATGTAGAGTTGTTTGGATATTTGTCCATTAAACCCTTGCTTTTATACATTGACAAAGCCCCTGCAAATTTTTGTTCAACCTTCAATTTTCATGTACATAAATCATTCATTATCGATTCTTTTACTTCAGAGTTCAGACTTCTCCAACCAATTAATATATTCCATGTAACTCTTTACAACTGTGAGTGCTTGATTTTTAACTTTTAAGATACTTCGGTATAAAGTAATGAAATATATAATTTTTCAACAAAAAAGAATTATAAAAACTAAATGTTTTCTTTAACAAATATCAACTTTTTATTAGATATTAAATGTTTATTAATTTATAGATTAGATATAAAATCTACACTATTTTTCCATTTGGTTTGGTTTTTTAAATTTTGAAGACTAAATTGTATAAAATAAAAATGAATTTAATTTAGTTAAAAATTATAAATTAAAACTTAAATTATGTACTTTTAATCAATTTCAAATAATGGGTTGAATTATATTTTATATTGAGACTAAATAAACTATATTATCTTAACAATAACAACACAAATTGAAGGGAAAAAAAAAAAAAAAAAACCTTTTCAAGTGCTTATAAATATTTGAATCAAAAGTTTAAAAGTTTATGAAACTTGAATTAGCGAGAGTTTGATAATTAAGAATTGAAACTTGAATATTGGGTTGAATCAAGATTGATATAGTGAATCAAAAATTTGAAAATTTAAACAAAAGAATTGTGAATTAATTGAATTTTAAGATCATACTGTGGTTCATTAATTAAAAATTAGTATTAATTATATTTAAACTTTCGAAGAAAATATCAAACGCTCAAGTATTTTAAAATTTTTAAAATTATATTATAAACAACTAGAGAAATTTTTGTCAGTTTATTTGGTTTGTTATATTCTCCTTGAATATGCTCATAGAGAATTAGAAATTTTGGAGATTTACTTATATCTTAGTTTTTGTGATGATATCAATTTCATATTTGTTGTTATTTTGTTTTATATATATAAAAAGAAATATTTGTTTTAGCATAAATTATTTAATTACTCTACTTTATAATAAAATAAAAATAAATTATATTTACGTAATTATCGTTTTAATTTAATATTAAATTAAATTACGTTATTTTTAATTAACCCTTATGTTATTTAACCAAAATATAACTGAAAATTTCAAAATCTAAAAAATATATATATTATACTCATACCTACTATATTGTGTTAATTTGATTTTTATGTAATATACTTAATTATATATTATATTTACTATATTAATTTTTTAAAGAAATTTGTATTATTTTTTTTATATATTTATTTTTTAAAAAAAACTTATTTGTTATATTCAATGCATATTCAATTAGGTTTTGAATATGTATATTCAATACATATTCAAAACCTAACCTAGGAAACTTGAAAATTATTTGTTTTCAAAAGTTATATATTAATTTATACTAAATTTTCGTGTAAAAGTCCAAATCCCTAATAGAGATTTCAAGCGTATAATTCAATAATAATCAAGTGAATAATACTGAAATTTATAATTTAGCAGAAACAAATAAAATTTAGAATTACATTTTTTACATGTTTACTTAAAATGACTAATAAGGTTATGAAAATTTCTTTGAACTTAATCGAGAAAAACATAAGAGAAAACATAACCTTAACTTGAAACAACGAAGCGGAATAGATAATCTCTTAACTAGTTTCTTACTATTCAGGATCCGAGTTTTGGTCGTTTTGATCTGAAATGGTTAATAATAAATGGGTGAGCTACACAAACTCAGTAAAAATGTAACGGCCCCGGAAATTTAAAAGAATTATATGTATTAAAAATGTCAAATGCGGAAGTGAAATAAAAATTTTAGTTAGCATCCCTTACACAATAACTAAAACGTACTCAAAACATGAAAGAACAAACTAACTAAAAGAGATACTCGAAATAAGAACTATAAATATAGCTATGGAGTCTTTAGGCGTCCCCTTCGCCGTCGTCCTGCGGAACAGGCTCGAGAACAATGTCTTCCTGATATGAAATGGTTAAATAAGGAATGAGCTATACCAGCCTAGTAAAGACATCACACTATCTCACTGCCACGGAAGTAAAGGTGGGTAGAAAACAAAATGACCAATGGAGCATAATTTATAACAAATTCTTTTATCAATAATAAAATCCTTTACTGTCCACTTACCTCAGCGAGATCCATGAAAACAACATATGAAAATAATAACCTTACAATATCATGAAATCATACACACTTTATAACACAACATATATCACACCTTTATATTTCAATCATCAGGAAACATATTTTCTCTTTTACCAGCCTACTAGTATCCTTGGGGATCCATAGGAGGTTCCCTCTACACGTGAACCATTAACATTTACAACCTGATTCCAGGGCCGTCCCCATACCCCGTCCGGTATGGGCACCAAAACTATGAACCTCAATACCCCGTCCGGTATGAGGGTGAAACGGGCCGTCCCCATACCCCGTCCGGTATGGGCGCCAAAACACATAAGGTCTTCATACCTCGTCCGGTATGAGAGACCACGTTCCCGGTAGGGTTTCCTACGGACCCGGTCCGTCCACCATCTCTCAGGATATCTAGTCAGGCTGTCCACATTTTCCACTTATCAATTCACATAACCTTTTTGCCCTTTTCCTTGGTCTCAATCATCCAATCATACACAAACATGTAAACCAGCCATCGACACCAAACAAGACAACACAGTATCGGGTTAAGCATAATACCAACCATAATAAAAGAAACTATGATTCATGCATACGAGACCATAATATAATTACATCAAACATCATACTGCATTTAATACTGAAAATTAAATCAAACAATAACAGACCAACACAGTATCAGACTCGGGCCCTATTGGCAACATAAATCAATTATACATCTATAACGCCACACAATACAGTTTAATTATTTATTTAGCTTTAATACCGTGATAGAAAATAGGGTGAGGGGTCCTTACCTATTTCGGGGTCTGAATTCGACTCTACAGTGCACCTACAGGCTGTCCCTAATTTTTTCTGAATTTTTCTCCGGGAAACTGAAACGCACTACCGGTACCTGTACGTGCCCCAAAAAATCCTAAATCAGACCTAGGGCCCTTAGCCAATATCGCAATTCCGGAACGGCGGCTCTGCCGTGCTCCGGCGACGGCAACGGCGCCGCCGCTTGCGGCGGCGATTCACCTCGGGTTGGCCGTTTTCGGCCGAATTTGGCCACACTTACATTGGTCCCAGTGATAAAACAACCCTAGGGCCCTCGGTGGACCAAAAAATCACAAAAAATCGAAACTTACCAACGGTGGTACTCTCGGGTGCGGCGGCTCCTCCGGCGTGAGTTGCGTTTTGATGTTTGGCTCCGATCAACCTGTAGAGAAAAGAACGGTGATCACAATGTTATAAAAATTACATCGAACAGAGGCCGAAAAGGGCCCCATCGGAGGCAAAAACCGAGGAGGGGCGCGGCGGCACCGCTGGGTTTCAGCTGGATTTTTCGACCGTTTGGCCAGTGGTTTGGCCATAGGCGGACTCGATCGGCGGTCAGAAACTTCCCCGGTGCGGCGGCGGGTGGCGGCGGCCGACTTCTCCAACGTCTGGTTCTTCTTCTCCGGTGAGGCACTGGCGGCTAGGGTTTTTGTGGTCAGGTGTGGGTGAGGTTATTTATACCCTTTGCCTTTTAATCTCAACTGTCCATTAAGATTAAATATGGGCCATTCGATCGCGATTTAATTGGGATTAAATCTGGGCCGTCCATCGCGATGCAATCTGGGCCGTCCGTGCCTGATTGAATCTGGACCGTCCGTGTGCGTGAATCTGGGCTGTCCGTGCGCACGTTTGATCTCCGTCCGTGCGCGCGGGAACAGATCTGGGTCGTCCGATCGCACGCACGCGGATCGCCCACGTGGCCCGTCCCCTGGTCAGCGTTTTCTTGCCACGCGGCGCGTCCTGGTTGGCCGGGGCTGCTGACCGGGCCGCTGACGTGGTGCTAACGTGGCACAACTTTTTTAAATTATGTTTTGACCCCCGGTTTTTGATTTTCTTTTCAAAAATACCCCCATAATCTAAATTTTCACCCCTTTTTTCCAAAATCAATTTCAATTAAATCCAAATAATATTTTTACCCAATTTTATCATTATTTTTATTTTTATTTTCATGAAATTAGATTAAATAAAATCAAATTAAATTAATTAAAAAAAATTCAATTAATTACAAAATAAAAATAATGATACTTGGGTGTTACAAAAAATATCAATATCTTACCACTAATACGAAAAATCAAATGGTTGTAGAGAAATTTAAAACAACTAATGTAGTTCATTATTAATAAAACTCGAATGTTAGTGCATTCATTATTTGTTTCACTAAAAATGTTAATATTTTCTCAACTCACTTATAAATTCTTAAAAGTCATTTATTAAAATAAGAATCCAAATAGCAATCTACAATACGCATTCTAAAAGAAATAAAACAGTTAACCTATGTTATTTCCCAAAATTGGATTCTTTATCATATTTATTTTATCATTTTACCTTTCCTACCGATGTCGCTGGGGTTCCATAGGTGTAATTCTAAATTAATTTTAATGTATTTAAAATTAATTTATAAATATAATTTTTTAATTTTTTAATTTTAATTTAATGTAAAAATAAAGAAAAATAGATGGATGATGAAGTTGAAAATAATTTTGAGAAAAATATGTGAAAATTTGGGTTCTAATAGTATTTTTAAAAGAAAAATTGAAAATTGGGGGTCAAAATATAATTTTAAAAAGTTGTACCACGTAGGACGCCTAGTCAGCAGCCCCGATTAACAGGAGTGTGCCATGTAGCAAGGGATGCTGACGCGGTGCCATGTGGGAGGCCACGCTGGCGATCCGCGTGCCCGTGATCGGACGACCCATATTCGCTCTCGTGCGCACGGACGGCCCGAATGTGTGCCCTCCCCAAACGCGATCAGACGGTCCATATCAGATCGCGATGAACGGTATAGATTCACTTCCTATTTAATCAAGATCGAACGGTCCAGATCAAATATGATGGACTATCCAAATTAAAAGGAG